TTAAGCTAAAAAATAGATTAGGACGAGACTGATAATCCAATCAAACCACCCCGCAAAGTTTGCCTTCTGCACCCCGTGGAGTTTACCCTCCGGCGGAAATGAAGACAACCCCTGACAGGATTTAAAACATTAAGAAATACAAACACAAGCACAAAAGGGGAAAAAAGTATAAAAATCAGGGACTTACCATACAAAGGTAGCTAGCCCAGGAACGCAGACTTCTTGCTATCTCTCGCCTTCCTGAAAAAATAAAAAGATCCAGCTTTCAAGCAGTTGTCTGTATCCTTGCACCGGAGCTCTCCCAGTGGGAAAATTGAGTCCTCAGAAGAAAGGCATTTTGACAGCCTTTCAACAATACTTTTGCAAAAGGGGGGGATTCCAAACCCTTCTCAGGTGAGAAGTTCCTTTCCTTTTGAAAGCATAGTTGCGGTTTGGGTGTTCTGTTGAAACAGGAAAGCTTAACCAAGCTGAACAGGGCAGAAAAAACATGTTGTGGTTTCTTGTAGGTCTTCCAACTCAGACAAGCATTTAAACATAACCGTTTGCAAATATGGGACCCTCCAGGTCATCCAGTCCAACCCACTTTTGATACATAAAATCCTTTAAAAGAATTCAAAAGAATATATCTTTGATTCACATCCTTCAGAAATGCTTTTAATTTTTCCATTTTGATCCTTTTACTAGCTGGATACCTGTGTGCTTCGCTACGAAACTATGTGGTCGGGCTTAGTTTTTGGGGAGGAAAATAAGGGAGTAAAAAAATTGTGCCTCTGCTTGCCAGCGTCCATCGGTATTCATCTGGCTACCATCCTGTCAGTGTGTGGGAGAGTTGAGGGCTGTTTGGAAACTGAAAGAGTATTTACTGTGTGAGCAAGGAGACAGCAAGGAGCCTGGGCATGGCTTAGCTCAACTGTTCTAGATCTAGACTAAAGCAGGTAGGTGCTGTGAAATTGAAAGTGAAACTCCTCTGCGTGTGTTTTGCATTTGGAAGGGATTTCTTTTCAGGTGGGGAGGGGGAGTAGAACTCCTTAGCGTCAGAGCGTGTTAATAATAACAACAATAACAACAAAATAATAATAATAATAATAATAATAATAATAATAATAATAATAATAATAATAATAATAATAATATAGGAAATACTCTAAATGCTCTGATGGTCATTTCAAAAAATCCCTTCTTAGTGAGCCCCTAGAAGCCAGGAGGAACATAGGTGCCCAGTTTCAAGTTTGTAGGTTTTACAGTTCTGGAGATTTTGTGATGATGCGTGAGTGGCCTTTCGCTTTTATATATATATATATAAATAGAATCTATATATATATAGATTCTATATATATATATAGAACAGGGGTCTCCAAACTTGGCAGCTTTAAGACTTGTGGACTTCAACTCCCAGTGTTCCTCAGCCACCTTTGGAGTTGAAGCCCACAAGCCTTAAAGTCGCCAAGGTTGGAGAGACCCCTGATAGAGAAGATAGAATAACATAGAACAGCAGAGTTGGAAGGGACCTTGGAGGTCATCTAGTCCAACCCCCCCTGCTTGAGCAGGAGAGTCTATTCCAAATATCAGCCTCTACCAGGGATCGAACTCCCAGCCTCCTGATTGTGAGGCGAGATCTCCACCTCTAGGCCACCGGAGCTGTAAAAATGAAAGTCTCTAAACCTGGACATGATACCACTTTAGGGCCACCTTTGAGCCCAGGATTTCTGTCGCTAAGTGAGAAATGGGTGATATAAGTCTTTCCTCCCCTTTTATGACCTTTCTGGTGATTTGTTTTTCATGGCGGCTGTTAAGTTAGTAACCCCGGAGGTCATTAAGTGAGTCTGAGCCGCAAAAGGGGATCACAGGACACACACACACACACACCGCCGGGACACTGCAACTAGTCACCAGTTGCAGTCAGTTGTCATGTGAATCCCATGTCCGTGGGGGGACGCTGCAACCATCTTAAGTGTGGGGAAATGGTCATAAGTCACTTTTTTTCAGTGCCGTTGTCCGGTCAGTAAATGAACTGTTGTAAGTCCAGGAGTGAGCAAGAAGGAGACAGCAAGGAGCTTGGGCGTGGCTTAGCTCAACTGTTCTGTACTAAAGCTGCTTGGTGCTGTGAAAGTAAAACTGAAACTCCTCTCCTCTGCTTTTGTGTTTTGCATTTGGAAGATGTTTCTTTCCAGGTGGGAAGGTGGAGTAGAACTCCTTAGCATCAGAGCATTGTTAATAATAATAATACTACAGGAAATACTCTAAATGCTCTGATGGTCATTTCGAAAAATCCTTTCTTAGTGAGCCCCTAGAAGCCAAGAGGAACATATATATATGCCCAACTTTCAAGTTTGTAGGCTTGACGGTTCTGGAGATTTTGTGATGATGCGTGAGTGGCCTTTTGCTTTTATATATATAGAATATTGCTAGAAAGGCAGCACAGGTGTCTTTCTCAGGTTTTTAGGTTTGAAGAAAGATGCCATGGCTGGCTGGGGAATTCTGGGAATTGAAACCACACCTCTTAAATTTGCCAAAATAAAGAGGTCTAGGTAGTACTAATGAGCTCACCCACCATTTTATTCACACAACCACCTTTAGAGGAAAGGACTGCCCCAAGACCACCCCCAAAACTCCTCCGAACAACTAAAGACCCCTGAAGCAAGAAATACAGGTGCTGGTTTGCACACTTCAGTAAGGATGACGTGGTGGAGAGACCAGTTCAGATTGTTAGGGTGCAGGTAACTAACAATCTGAACTGGTCTCTCCACATGTCATCATTGGTGAAGCGTGCAAACTGGTGTCTGAATTTCCTGCGTCAGATGAGGAGAGCACCTCTTTTTCCTTCTGTCCTGCCCAATTTTTTGAGGCACGATTGAAAGTATTTTTAACAAACTGCCTTACTGTTTGGTTTGGTGGCGATAGTGCCTCAGATGGAAAGTCCCTACAGAGAGTGGTGAGGACAGTGGAGATTATAGGAAACTTGCTTCCTGTTATTCAGGATACTGCTTACAAGCACTATGTGCTTAGAGCTGGAAGCATTGTATCCCTGGTGGAGACTGACTCTGAGGAAGAGGAGAAACAGCCAACAGGGAGTGGAAGTGCGGCTCCGGAGGTTGTGGAGGAGGCTGGGGAAGGGCAGAAGCTGGCTGGGCAGTCAGAGGAGGACCCAGGCCCATCCTCTCTCCATCCTAGGGCACGGCCGCAGGGAGGAGAGGATAAGGGAGAGACATGGTCTACTTAGGAGGAGAGGGCCTTGATCCCCTTCATGGGCTGCAGCTGTGACAACTGAATAGGACAGACCTGCGTATGGGCAAATGCTAGAAACAAAGCATGGAAATATCTCTAGTTTATGGTTCCTGAGTTTGGAGTCCTTCCCAGTGTGTGTTATCTGTGGACGTCCTCCAGCCCTTATGTTACCTGGTTTGTGTTGCTTTTTTTCCTTCTTCTTGTAACTGTTTGTGTGGGACTTTTTTGTTTTCTGACAAGAATATTCAGAGCTTGGAAGCAAAGTGAAGGAATAAAAGGGGCTTCAGCTGTTTTCTGTAACTGTGTTTATTTTGTATCCCACATTGGGTCATCACACATTGTTAGAGACCCCACACACCCACTTTATGGTCTGTTCCTGTTGCTTCCCTCTGGGAGCGGGTTTTGAAGTATTTCTAGCAGGACTACCAGATTCTGTAACCGCTTTGTTCTCTAGGCCATCCGTCTGGCAAACTCACAAGGTTTGTTTTTCTCACCATGGTCATGTATACATCTGAACTAAACTGTGTTGTTCCTCTGTGTCATATATGTGGGTACATGCACAACGTGTTTATTTATTTTGTCGTGTTTATGTAGCGTATATTGGAGGTGTGACCTTTTGAGAGCTGTACGCAACAAAATTTCATTTTAATGTATGCTGATTAGTGTACATTCGAAGTGACAATAAAGTTATTCTAAGTCTAATCACTACAGCAAATGTTACACTGCAAAAAAAAAATTCTACAATTCGTTCCAAGAATTGTTAGTACTTGGGCGGGGGGTTTGTCTGGTTGTATATATGCAAAAATATGTCTCCGCAGATGAATCTGACACACAGCATTTAGTAAAACAAAATAACGAGGTTTATTCTTGCAAATAAAGACACACCCAAGTCAAAGATAGGAAGGCATTAACCAACATTGCAGCAATATGACTGGTCTATATGATCTTTTAAAAATAACTAGAGGATTTTTCTTCTTACTGAAACGAAGTCTGAACATTCAAAATAATGACATCTTATTAACAAACAGCGCTGGATGGGCATAAATAGATACTCCCACTGCAACAACCCCCAACAGTCTGGCAAATAAACATTTAAAAAGGGCATTAACAGAATAATAGCTGTCACAGACCTATTAACAATTTTGAAGGGGAAAAAATGTTGGCATTGAACCAACTGCTTTCATTTTAATGTGCCATTCTAAGAAGTTGATGGAGCAGCAAGAGAAGGAATTAACATTTTAATTTAAGCAAGAATGTTGTTTAATGGAACACAAAAGTTCTTTTATGGGCACAAATCTCCCAAAATTCAGGCAAACATTTCTGAAGATCTAACTTACGCTGTTTATGAAACCAAATGCCTAGATCACTCGATGACTCTTTGGTAATCACTACAGTTTAATCCCTTTGGCCTGTATTTCTGGGAGAGGTTCCCATAATCTACATTCCTCTATATTTTTGATCTTTGGATCTTCTTGGGGTGTGAAGCTGATGTTGGAATGTTGATCCAAGGATGAGCTACCATATGAAACTCACACAATCTGTTGGACATTTATTGCGAGGGTTTTAGTACGGCCAAACATTCATCTAGTCCAATACACTAAACCTTGGCAACTTTTAACACCTGGGGAATTCTGGGAGTTGAAATCCACAGGTCTTAAAAGTTGTCAAAATTGAAAACCCCTCTACTAAATCATTCCTTTTGATCTGGGTGGAAAAGTAGATTTGAACCTACTACACACATCATGGGGGGAAAAACAGATTTATTTTTTTTAAAAAAAAATACAGATTATATTTTGGTATGGAAGAACCAAGCTGCCATCAAGGAAGTTTGCTGGGGAAGGAGGCTAAGTAACATATATGCCTCAAACCAGGCATCTACTGTTTATCTATTATTAATAAAAATGTGACATTTCTCTTTGCTGGTAAAAGAAAAAGGAAGTACAGGCGCATCTGCAACTCCATTCAAGCTGTTTGTGCCTGTGAAGATGGAATATAAATTCCGATGTAGATTCTAATTTTTTAAAAAAACAGCGTCTACTTTTGCCTCAATATATACTGCAGAACAATTTACAGAAAAACGATTTCAACCATGTAAAATCTAAATCTTAGAATTCAAAATCCATGGACCATCATCATGGATTAAACCTCGACTTGTTTTGCAATTCAGACAAAATTATTGTACCCGTTTGTACACATACTCCTAATAAAAGTGACCCAAAGCTGTCATTTTAACCTTTAAAATCCTATCATGGAAGACATTTTTGTCAATATATACGTGCCTTGTGCACCTTCGAAATTGCATAGAAAACCAACATGCCTTAAACTTGTGTCTTGCTGAAATTTACAAACTATTTCAACCACTTCCATATAAATACATGAAGCTTTGTGCCTACGACTTACAAACTATCATTATATTTATATTCTACAAAGATACTCTCAGAATTTAAAAACATAACAAAACACATTGTTAACCTTTGTTTTCAGTAAGTTTGACCTGGTCAGTGTACAGATTTCAATGAAGCTGTTTCCAAAAGGAGACCACATTGGCCTGGTCTGACATCTCAAGTTGTCTGTCCAACTTCTTCTCCTGAGGAAAGGTCTCTTGGAGCAAAACGGGGTGATCTCAAATTATCACCTCCGACTCAAACTTTATGATCCTGTATGAAAATGACTTTTATGCAGGACTGAAAACATACATAAAATTCCTATTTGGTTGAAACAATTTCATGTGGTGAAACTGATACGGGCAGCAGCTTTTCCCAAACAGTGGTCCCACGTAGGCCCACACCTGTGGCAATTTTATTTCTAAATATTTTGGGGAAGAAAGGCAGCAGTCTCTGGGAAGTGAAGACTTTGTGCTCTCTTCTTAACACAAACAATTGTCTGTGCTTAAGGTGTTGCTGGTTTCTCTGGACGCAATCCAGGAAAATGGAAGAAAAATCAGGTCTATTCAGGCAGGCATACAAGGTATCTTCCATAACTTGCCATATATGAATGGGCCTTCACAACCTCAACATCACTTGTAACGATTGATATTATTATTGTCCCAAACCTTGAGAAGGGCAGCAATTTAATACTTTCTCAGAAAGCACTATGAAACAATGTTTATTCAGAGTTCGTCTATTGCCCACAATGGAATCTTTTAAAAATAAAAACTATATGAGATTAGGTCTACTCAAATCATCAGATAGGGCAAAATATTTTAAGACACTGCTGAAACCTAACAGTAATGAATTTAATTCAGCATTAATGTAATGCTTTTTTAAAAAAAGAAGAAATGCCACTGAGGTGTTTCAAGAAAAAAAGGATGTTCAACGCTGTTTTGCAAATAATGTTTGGCACATTATTTATGCGACGCTGTTCCATACAATAGGATGCTTCATAAAATAAGCTTAGTCACAGTCTAGTCTTTGGTGTAAAATACGGATTCTTGAGGTTGTGAACACATGAATTATTGGCTGTTGGAAAGAGCTTATTTTTAAGAGAACGAAGACTGAAAGAAACCCTGCACCTAATTATTAAGTTCACTTGCTCCCGTTTAGACATGTCAACAGTGAAATGTTCGTAATAGTTATGAAAGTTGAAATTCAGAACCAATTCTAAGGACTGTTTTACTCTCAAGTTACACTCTCTTCTGTAATGCTTGAGCACTTCAATGTTCTTTGCAGCAACAATTTAATTTGTCCAATTCTGCAAACTTGGATATCTGAAAGAGCACTTGAGGTGCTATACCAATGGAAGACGTGGCCTCTTCAATTTTCCAGGCTGTCAGAAATCCAATTTCTTCAGCTGTTCATACATCACAAAGAACTAGTGCTTGTCATTAAGGAAAAAAAAAGGAAGGGTTGAATCTCATTGCTAAATTTAAAAAAGGGCCTGTAATTGCATTTAGTTGCTATCCCTCCAGTTTTTCCAGCGAATCTGCTCACTCTTTTTGCAGGCTTCTCAACCAGGTAGTTTTGTTGAGCCTATTTAGATAAAGTTTTGTTTTCTTTTTATGAAAGTAACTGCATTTTACAGTTCCCCTCCTTCCTGTTTTTAAAACAAATTTGTTCAGTTGTCTTACAGTATCTCAGATAAGTATGGTAGCTTTGTTGAACTTCCTTTTTATACCACTAATTGCAATATATAACTTTTTTAAAAAAAATCCCACCCAGGCTTTTATGACTGGAGATTAAGAGAATACTAAAGTATTTGCTTGCTATGATATGTATATGCAAAAATTTTGATTCTAGATCTTCGGTCCCCGTTTTAAAAGCCTCTAATTTATTCCCTACCGGTGGTAACATTTTGGACTTTATCATTACTGTCTTGCTATTATATCTATTCAGTAAGCTTTATCGGCTGCTATTATTCCATGTGATATTTTAATATGGTTTTAAAGGGTTTAACTCTTTAACTATTTGATTTAACTCTCGTGACATCACCTAAGGTGATCAAGAATAGAATAGATAGAGAAAAAGCAAAATGAAGAACTCAAATACGTCCACAGAGATTCTTAAGTTCTTGTCACAAGATGGAAAAATGTGTGTCAGTCACAAGATCTGGAAATGTGTCGTTTTCAATGTCAGTTATTCATTCCAGTTAATTCAGAATAAGGAAGTCAGGGCAATCTGTCTTAAAAAGTATAAACTACATCACACTCCTTACAAGGAATATTTTCTTGCAGGACAAATGGCAAGTGTAACAAAGTATTTTTAATCTCTCTACCAAACAACAGAAACAGTACAATTTAGCAAGAAAAAAAAAAACTTTGTAAATTAAAAATTGTATACACTTGCTATTATGGCCTCGTTGTTACCAGGGAAGAAACTGAATGAATTTTGAGTAAATGAAAATCCAGAAAGCAATTGGTCCCATAGGGTCCAAATATGCATCAGTTGACTCAAGGACAGTAGCTATTTCAAATTGTAATAAAATCGATAACTGCCAGAAAGATTTTAAGACGAAGAAAGCAAAGGAGGTATTATGTTTGCTTGGGATTAGTGGATATTCACTTCCTTTTTGTTTTAGAGAATTTCATATTTTATGTAAACTTCTGAAAATACAGAGCCAGGCCAATCACCAGGAGACTGGGAGTTCTAGTCCTGCCTTTGCTATGAATGCCGGCTGGGTGACTTTGGACCTGTTACATTCTCTCAGCCCAACCCACCTCACAGGGTTGTTGTTGTGGGAAAAAGAGAAGGAGGAAGGTGTGTCGGGCATGTTCACTGCCTTGAGTTATTTGCAAAAACAATAAAAGGCGGGATGTGAATAAAAAAAATAAATCAAATAAAATGCATGGAAAAAGGATACAATTATATTCCAAGGCCCAAGCCTTAACCAGTTTGGCCAGAATCCTTTGTACAATGCAAAAAAACCTTCGCTCTTCCAGGTCTATGAAAAATAAGAAGAAAAATCTCTGAATATTCCGCAATCCACATTCAACAGAGGAGACGTTTCCCTTATCTTCAAGCAGAAGCGTATCCTATCCCATAACACAGAGGAAGGATGAATGAGGCCTGGGTGGTGGACCTTGTCACGATTGGTCCTTTCAAAGGCATCTCACCGGAGTGTCCACAAACCAGCTCCATCAAAGCTGTTCTTAAAGGTCTCCTGTTGAAACATTCTCCAAGAATTAACTCCTGGGAAAGAACTAGGCTGGAATCTAGGATTATGTGCAGATTTAAGCTCTTAATGCATGAGACAGCAACCTCTTCTCCACGGAGTTAGAATAGAATAGAATAACAGAATTGGAAGGGACCTTGGAGGTCTTCTAGTCCAACCCCCTGCCTAGGCAGGAAATCCTACACCACTTCAGACAGATGGTTATCCAACATCTTTTCAAAAACTTCCAGTGTTGGAGCATCCACAACTTCTGGAGGCAACTTGTTCCACTGATTAATTGTTCCCACTGTCAGGAAATTCCTCCTTAGTTCTAGGTTGCTTCTCACCTTGATTAGTCTCCACCCATTGCTTCTTGTCCTACTTCAGGTGCTTTGGAGAATAGCTTGACTCCCTCTTCTTTGGGGCAGCCCTTCAAATATTGGAAAACTGCTATCCTGTCTCCCCTGGTCCTTCTTTTCATTAAACTAGACCTACCCAATTCCTGCAAGCCTTCTTTGTATGTTTTGGCCTCCAGTCCCTTAATCATCTTGGTTACTCTTCTAGAGCAAGGGCCTTCAAACTTGGCAAGTTTAAGTCCTGTGGACTTCAACTCCCAGAATCCCTGAACTAACATGACTAGAGGAGGAATTCTGGGAGTTGAAGTCCGCAAGTTTTAAAGCTGTCAAGTTTGAAGATCCCAGATATAGACAGACAAGTACCAGCAACTTGGTTGTCACAAAGAAGTGACATCTAAGTATTCAAAGACCACTGTTTACATACAGGCAGTCCTTAACCTATTACAGTGGTCTTCAAACTTGACGGATATAAATATAGACCAAGAGTCTTCAAACTTGGCCACTTTAAGACTTGCGGACTTCAACTCCTAGAATTCCTGCGCTAACATGACTGGAGAAGGAATTCTGGGAGTTGAAGTCCACAAGTCTTAAAGCTGCCAAGTTTGAGGGGCCCAGTTCTAGAGTCTCAACATCTTTTTGACATCGTGGTGACCACAACTGAAGTTTTATCCTTAGGAGTTGAAATCAATGTCTGAAGAGGTTTCTTCCAATAAAGCGCTGGAATTTGATTCAAAATAAAAGCAGGAATCTTCCCCTTCCCTGATATCAGGGGCCTCCAACCTGGGTAACTTTAAGATTGGGAGTTGAAGTCCACAAGTCTTTAAAGTTGCAGAGGTTGGAGACCCCTGCCTTATATGCACCGAGAATGGAGGGAAAGAGAGTCAGTTTATAGTAACTAACAAACAGATGTTTTGGACCACGTCTTTCCATCACCCCCTTGCCTTTTGGAGACTCATGATGGTTGAACCAAACCATGATTCCAGACCCAACCCGACATAGCCTCCCTTCCTCTGCAATTCCGGGCCCAGCAAATTGTGTTCAGGAAAACGTCTTTTTATCGAAAGATCCTTCTCGACCCTGAAGGAAATCGACTGACCTGAAGCAAACAGTCCAGAGTCCCCTTGTAGCCATGCTGGGGCCCAGTGCGTGAGCTTCTCTGGTTCATCATCCGTGTCCTCACCACATCAATGGGGTTGGAGGCCAAGGCTCCCGCCAAGCCGCAGGTGAAACTTGCTCTGAGGAGAGAGAAAGAGAGAGAGAGAGAGAGGGAGAGAGGAAATTCAGAGGGTCATCCGAACGACTTTCTTGGAGAAAACCACAAAGGTAAGTGTGACATGGTCGGGTTTCTTCCAAAGGACGCCATAGGACAGCGTTTTCCAAACTGGATGAAGGAGGAGAAGAGAAGGAAGGAGGAGCAGGAGGAAGAAAAAGAAAGGAGAAAGAGGGGAATGGGGACAGGGAGGGGAAAGGGGGAAGGGAAAGAGTAAGAAGAGGGTCAGGCAGGGTTGGGGAGAAGGAGAAGGAGAAGGCAAGAAAATGGAGGAGAAGAGGAGGAGGGTAGGGGAAGGGAGGAAAGAAGAGAAAGAGAGAGGGAGAGAGAGAGAGAGGAAGGGAAGAAGAATAGGATAGAGTAGAATTGTGTGATTAGACACATAAGGAATTTTCTGCAGTGCATAAACACTCAGTGTTCATACAATAATAGTGATAGATCATTATCAATCAAGAAAAAGAAGAGGAGGAGGAGGAGGAGAAGGAGGAGGAGGAGGAGGAGAAGGAGGCGGCAGCTTAGTTGTTTTCTTGTAGATGTTTCATTACCCAACTAGAGAACATCATCAGTGCAGGAAGGAAATGGAGTTTAGGAGGAGGAGGAAGGAGGAAGAAGAGAGGAAGAGGAAGGAGGAAGAAGAAGAGGAGGAAGTGGAGGAACAAG